GAGAGAGAGAGAGAGAGAGAGAGAGAAATTAGTTTTTAGAATATATAGAATTTTTAAAAATATAAGAATGCATAAGAAAAAAATATTAGAATGCATAGAATATTCAAAATTATTTTTAAGAAATAAAAAATATTAAAAATTTTTATTCTTTTTTAATTTATGATTAATTCTTCTTATTCATTTTTCTTTGCATTACGTACGATTCTTTTATACAATTCTCAAAATGAATAATAGTATGAAATACGTATATAAATATTTATCTCTTGTGACTGTTAATATAGGATTATTTATTATATACATATTATCATATATATTTATCATGTTTTATCATATTAATTTTTTCTTCTTACATGAAACTTATTTTTCCTTTAGTACATACAGCATACATTATTAAGTATTATAATTTAAAAATAATTATTTCATTTAATTTCAGAATTTGAAATAAAACATTTAATACGAAATAGATAAAAAACAAAATTATTTATGGATTTAAAAAAGTTTTAGATTAATCTTAGATAATAAATTTTTTTAGATTATAATTAATATTGCTATTATTTTATTTATTAATTTAATATTTCTACATTTATTAATTTTTATTTATTTATTTCAATTTCAATTAATTACAAAAGGAAAAAAAAAGTTTCTGTTTTCTATATGAATATATTATTAACAAGTTAATACATGCAAAAAAAGTTATTTTTACTTTACTTTGTATACAATACATATAATCAAACAATAATGCAGTATTTATTTCTTTGTCAATAGTTAAATATTTAATTTTTAATCGTTATAATAATTACTTTAAAATATTATTTTGAATTTAATTAATTAATTGATTTGTTGTGTATTTTTATGAATAACTTATTGAAACTAAATTATATTATCAAATTTGTAAATTGTTACATCTTTTTTAATTATTTCACAAAATATATATGAAATGGTAATAAATCAATAAAAATTTCTTAAGCTTAAAATTATTCAAAGAACACAAAAAATGACTGAGTAGGGAAAAAAAGAGAAAAAAAGAAGAGAAAAAGAAAGATATGATATTTGACCAATAACAGCTGCATAATATATGCAATGAACACATTACATTCACTCAAAAATTTATATAGTAACAGTTAATATTAATTATTTATATTTGTTATTATTAATCGTTCAATGTAAAAAAAAAAAAGAAGTTAAATAAGACCAATAGGTTCAAAATCGCATTATTCTAATTATTTGCAATATCACAGTACTTGCTGAAACATACAAATACACGTTTCCGATAGGTACAAGAGCCAATACCAAAATGGCAAGCACAATATTTTTTTTTCCAATAAACATAATATATATTATCTAGCCATCGATCGCTTTCTTTCTTTTTTCTTAATTTGTAATCATCACAAAAATTCGTAGTTATTATATTCAAAACATGATATATCTTATCAAAAATTAATTCCATATTTTTCTTCTAAAAATTTTTTTGTATTTTTTTTGTTTTTTATAATATTTTATAAAGAATTTAATAATTCCACTTCATATTCTTAAAATTTTTCACATTATATTATAATAAAAAAAAAATTTATAGAAATTATATTGCAAGAAAATGTGATAAATGCCCATAAATTTAAATTTTATAATTATAAATAATTTCATCTTCGAACTAATATCGTAGTTTTCAATTAAGAAAACTTGTTTTTTCAAAAAAGAGCGATTAACTCAACGATATTGCGAGTAAAACAAAAGAGAAAGAAAAAGAAATATAAAAGAACAGAAAAGAAAAAACAAATTAGAAAACAAATTAGAAAAAAAAAACGAGTATGATATGTTATCGAAATTAAGGAACAAACGCGAGGGTTTTTGTTTTACGACTAATCATTATTCTTTTCTTTTTCTTATGTAAAACAACGTAATGTATGCTACGTACATACATGGATTTATATGTACGCGCGCGCGCATATGTATTCATCCAATCTTCCCATATATGCACATGCACACGCACACGCATACGCGTGTACGCGCACGCATACATGATAACGATTTAAGAAAAATTTTTATAATTCATATTATCCTAACTATTTGTCGATCCAGAAGAAATTCTTTCGGATAATATTTACAAATATAATTTTTTTGTAATAAAACATACGAAAGATTCCATTATCATCGACTTGGCGAATACAAAAAATTCTAAAGCTATTGTCATACATAAACTGGACCTTGATTGTCATTATCGTCCAAACTTATTCGACTAGGATATGCAGGACCTCCACCATCGTCAAAGAAACGTCTAAAGGTAAATTCAAAGAAACCATGAAATGGTTTACCATTATCTAATAATTCATCGGATTTATTAGAATCGGACGATTCTGAATTTCGTAATTTATCAGGATCCACGGGATCAAAATTACTTGTATCCGTAGGATATTGTATCCGAGGTATGTGAGGAGCTACTTGCCGTCGTAGTCCCTTTTCAAAATCGATGTTCGCAAAAAATGGATGATTCTTTACTTCATCTGCGTTCTTACCTAACCGACGATCTGCACCAACACATAACTTTAATATTAAATCCATACCTTCTGCGGAAAGATTCGCTTGCTTAGGGATATGCAAAGTCGTTTCCCAATTGATTACCTGCGATACAATATATTTCAATACTGTGTACAAATTATATCATAATAAAGTAATAAATTAATAAGCATTAAACTTACTTTATATTGGGTTTCAGCTGGAGTATTAGCAAGAAATGGTGGAGAACCAACTAACATTTCATACAAAATCACACCAACACTCCACCAATCACACAATTGAGTGTATCCTGTCCTTTGTAGTACTTCTGGTGCAATATAATTTGGTGTTCCAACCAAGGAATGAGCTAAACATCTTTGATGTTCTCTATGTCTTCTACGTTCCAATGGTTTTAATTGGATACAACGACATTCATTATTCCAATCGTCAGCAGGATCCATTGAATCTTGTTTTCCATGTCCTGTTTTAATAACAACATCGGTATAATTGCGCATATATATATATATAATACATATATAGAACTTGAGAATAAATCAATCATGGACACATACCATTTTGTTGATAATATTTAGAATTATGAGTCCAACGAAATCCTGTACATAGACCAAAATCTGTTAATTTTATGTGTCCATCTCGATCAATTAAAATATTGTCTGGTTTAATGTCTCTATGAATAAAACCCATTTTATGAACACTTTCTACAGCGCACGTTAATTCAGCAATATAAAATCTTGCCAGAGGTTCCTTAAAAATGCCAAATTTGATCAACAATGACATCAAGTCTCCACCTGGTATATAATCCATTACAAAATATAAATTGTCCTTATCTTGAAAGGAATAATAAAGTTTTACAACCCATTCATTATCAGCTTCTGCTAATATATCTCTTTCAGCTTTAACATGAGCAACTTGATTACGATTTAACACATCTGCCTTTCTTAAAGTTTTCATAGCATAAAATTGATTGGTATCAAGTTTTCTAACAAGTGTTACTTCTCCAAAAGCGCCAACTCCAATTGGTTTGATTTTCGTAAACATGGATTTATCCATTTTTGCTCGTTTCAACCGGATATAATTCGATTCCTTTTGTGATAACATTTTTCTCATTTGACATTGAGCTTCCGCGCTAAGACCTATCTTAGCCATTTCTGTTTCTAATTGAAGCCGACGATATAATCGTTGTTTGTGAGATTTTAATACATTTTCAACGTGCTGTTCCATAAAAAATTTAAAAGCCTGTGGAGAATAATTGCGAACTTTACAATCTCTACGTTCTTCTTCTTTTTCTTTACTCATATGTTTACGTTCAGGTATCGGAGACTGATGTTTGATTTTGTAAGATGAAGGTGATGAACCAGCTCCTTTTGCTCCATTATCAGGTGAATGATTATTATTATTATTATTGTTATTATTATTACTATTGCCGCCATTGCTACTATTGCTATTATTATTGCTGTTGTTGACATTGTTACCAATGTTGTTATTAGTTCTTAAGGGTATGGACGTGGATGTTACCGGAGGTAAAGGTGGAGCTTCCGTAGGATGTTGACATCCATCTGCAGGTGAATATTTTCTTTGCAATGGAGGATGTAAAGCAACTGGAGATGATCTAAGGGTTGTATTATTGTCTATCGTTGATATGCAATTAGAATCTTCAGTAGTAGCTGTTCCATAGGGAGGAGGAGGTACTGGATGATGCATTCCTCGTTGTGCCGCTAATGCTTGCATCGTTGTCGCATAACTTGGTGGTTCTGTAGTGGGTACTCCTACAGAAACACCTACATTTATATTGTTCGTTGATGTTGTGCCAACACTATTCACTGGTGGATATGCAGGAGGTGGTGCTTGCGAAGACTGTTGTTGTTGCTGTTGTTGTTGTTGTTGCTGCGGTTGTGGCTGTTGTTGCTGTTGCTGCTTTTGTTGAATAGACGATGCATAAGATGGTGGAGGTGGTGGTGTGTTACTAGTAGTTGAAATTGGTTGTGGAGAAGTCGGTGCGATTGCAGTTTGTAACACAGGTTTTTGTACTTGTGTACTCTTAACAGATTGCATAATAATTGGTGGTTGTGTTTTTGCCTGTCGTGCACCCCAAGCTTGCAATGGAGTTGGTCTAGCCATAGATGCTTGTGTATTTGGTGATATAGCAGAAACGGTAATTGGACTTGGAGAACCGGCCGATGTTGGGCCAGAATAGATTCCAGAAGAAGGACTTTTGCGATAATCTTGCTGAGATTGTGTAGGACTTTGTCTATTTTGTATAGAGGCACTGTAAGATGGTGGTTGTACCGGACCAGTCGACGAGGAAGAAACAATGGGATATGGTGGTGGCGGTTCGACTTGAGTATTAGAATTGTTGTTGCCTGTTTGATAAATACTAAGAGCTTGCATTTGCTGAGAAAGTTGCTGTTGAACTTGCGGACCATTTTGAACAATCATGGGTTGGCGACAATTTGAATTATTATTAGAACTTGCTACTGGACTTGTACCTCTTTGTGGTAGATTAACTGATGTTGATATCGGACCAGTATTACCAGGTGTGGTAGGAGGAGGTCGCGTTGGAACCACCGGAGCAGGAGACATTCGCTTAAGCATTTGTTGCATATTAGTAGGTACATTTGGCTGATTATATGGAGCGTGAGGTGGTGGTGGTGGGGGTGGTGTAGAGCTACATCTAGGAGGTGGAGGAGGAGGTGGTTCTCGTTCTACAAAATTGCTTGGAGAGTATTGTCGGCTCAATTGCGGATGTGGGCTAAGTTCCGCCAGACGAGGACTATCGGATCGTGAACTTCCTGCTCCACTATCCAATGCAGGACTACCTCGTTGTAAACTCAATTCTCTTTCCAAACTAGGTTTTCTTATTAATTTGCTGTTAAGTTTGCCTAGACCATTTAGAGATTCTCCCTGAGCTTGCTTCAAGAATTCTATAGCCGCATCTAGACGCCAGCCAGCTAATTTCAACGCGCGCAATGCAATTTCCTGTATATATATAATATCAAATTTGAATAAATAATAATTAAGCTTAAAATCCATAATAATACACATACCTCTGAATATCCCATTGCTAATAGCTGAGCTAACAATTGTCGTTGATCAGATTTATCAAGAGTAGATCCAGAAGCTGTAGAGAGACCACTAAGTCCTGAAGCAGAACTAATGCCACTGGTCGTAGATAAAGTAGATATAGTACTAGCAGCACTAGAACCTACTTCGCCTGCACCTCCAATATTTGCAAAAGGTAGTAAAGAATTGCGAATTTCAGCTAAAGCCTTTTGATGATATCCAGAGCCACGAGTGCTCGATTTGCTAACCGTGGGTGGATTCATAGTGGCCCATGCTAGGCCTTCTCAGACCTAGCTTTAATCCGGCTGTGACATATATATATATATATACATACATCTAAAACATAATATCAAGTTATTTTCTTACAATATTGTAAAATTTCTATAATATTTTACTATCATATTTACTATAAAATATTTTTAATAATTATTTTCATATATTTCATTTGTAAAATTAATCAATTGATTAATTGTAATCATATAAATTGTACTATATAATATTCAAAAAATTCAATTAATATATTTTATGTATTTTTACATTGTCATTAATATTTTGGCATTATAAAAAATACAAAGATTAATTGAATATAAAAAATACGATATTCATTATTTGGTTAATTCACTATCGAAATATTTGTATTATATACATAATAAAATAATGTTAATATTAATAAATCACTAAATGTTAAGATATGTTATGTATTAAATTTTAAATAGTTTTTGTATCACTTTACTTTGTTTAATTATAATTTATATATAATAAATTTTATTTGAAAATTTAATTTCAATCATAGAATGCAAACAGCTTTATATATAATCTTATACACGATTTTTTACATCTTCGTACATAAAGATAAGATCCATCAAAAATCTAACCTATTCATTAGATGCGTGACGGATTGATCCAATAAGTTCTTTATACATAAAATGAGCTACAATAGCACACACTTTCTTTAGAAATCAGAAAACATTAGATAAGATTTTTCTTGAAATAAGTTTAACTGAAATAGCAATCAGGAGAGAACGACTTCAGAGCATATTCTATTCTCACGTTTCTACAAAATCCATGTGACAAGATTAATGTACACATAAATCTTCTAATTCACTATTTTCCCTTAAAAATAATTCTATAGTATTCTAATATACAGTCGTAATTACTTCAGCAACAACAAAGAAAGGTACAGCCGTAAATTACTAAAGTAACTGGCAGCCATTTTGAAGTGCCACATTCCTACACCGACTTGACACTCTTTTTCGTAATTTACGATATGCACCAAGTTCGTGCGCGAAAAAACAAATAGCACTTTGCAATTAATATAAAATATATTTAACAAATAATGTTTATTATTTAAGAAAATAAAATTTTATTCTGGAAAGCTATAATTAAAAAAAATAAAATATTTAAAAATTTATTTAACGTTTTAAAACTATCTCGTCCAACTAAATGTGAATGTCAACATTATATCAGTCGCTTCTTTTCTCTAACTTGAGAATTATTTCATATATATTTAATTAATATTTAAAAATATTTAAAAATTAAGACTAAAAAATTTTTCGTTTGTTTTTTTCAAATATTCTTCATATTTTTATAATGATTTTATGATTTTAATAATTAATTATACTTAAATAATGAGAAAATGTGAGTGAAAACTTTTTTTCATTCATATTTAAGTTTGCTTCGAAATTTATAATTAAAGAAATATTAAATTTCATACATTCATTTTATATAATTCAATTAAATAAATAAATAGATAATAGAAAACTGAAAAAAATGGAATTAATAAAATTATTTATATTACTTTATCCAATTATAATTTAAACATGTAAATGTAAAAATATATGTATATACATATTTTTTTAATATATATTATATATAATGAAATATATACGTATATATGTGTTACAATAAATAGGATTATATAAATATAATTGAATCTAAATAATAAGAAAGAAATAAAATTAACATATCAATTTTATATTCAAAACTAATCATAAAATAATTTTTTTAAACTATATATATTACTATAGATATATTAAAATTTTGATATATTATTCATATATTTATCTGAAATTTGAAGCAATTTTTAATATAATTACAATTTAATAATAATTTTATTAAATTATATATAACTGCAAATATTATATATAATTCATTATTTATTACTTTTAATATGCTATGTAATAATTATTATACTTTATCATTTTAAAATCAAATGCGGCGTTTAAATTTTGAAAGTTTACATTAGCTTTCTTATATTAAAATCAACATATAAAAATATAAATGTGTCGAATTAAAAAAATATAATAATTATCAATAAAATTTACTAATATAATTTATTCAGTATTTTCATTGGATATGTGTAATATATATATATTTTTTTGCTTCTGTATTAATATTTTTTGTATATTATATATAGTATGTATATAGTTATATATAAATGTATATAGTTATACATAAATAGATACAGACACATATGTGTACATATATCTTGTTTATTTGAAATAAAAAAAAAATATATATTTCTTAATTAATAAAATAATTAATAAAAATTTGTTTGAATAAAATGTTCATATAATTTGGCTTAAAATAAAATAATTTAAAATAAACAAATATGATTTCTTTTAAAAACTTTAGTTTTAAAATAGATATGACATTTTTATAAGGTCATTAACCATTATAATAATCGTATTCATTCCAATATCATATATATATATATATATATATATACGTGTATGCATTCCAATTAGCTTAAATTAATATTAATGTTGTTATAATCATGATATTAGTATAAGTTTACATGAGGAAATCTTGCTTTTCATTGTTTTCATATAATTATATGTTAATCAATATTGTGTTAATAGAAAATATTACATTGATAATTAATATAAATATAGCAAATAATTATAATTAGTAACAATTAATCAATATTTTACATTTCATTGTCGTGTAAAATCTATTAAATTTGAATTAAAAATAATATCAATATCATAATCATATTATATATCATAAAGTATAGAAATAAAATTTCACATAATTTTATGATATAATGGGATTATAAAATTAAAAATAATATTTAAAATTATAAATTAAATTTAGATAATAAAAAAAAATAATATTTTGTTTAATTCAAGAAATCAAAAAGTATATAAAGAAATAAAAGTGTATTAAGCATTTAACGTTTAAAATAAAAGAAAGCTATTATTATGGTAGCCCATGTTATGTGTTTAACCTCTACTGGAGGAATTCCTTTATTTTCTCGTCAAAAAGGAGAAGGAGATACGGTAATATTTATATGATTATAAATGAAAAAAAATGTAAATTATGTGATATTAATTTTAATTTCTTTTTTGCTAAAACTTATTTTAATAAAACTATAGATGACATTTTCAAAAATAGCATCTCTATATGGGATACATATGTTTCTTAAATCACAAAACATTAAACTTTTAAATACAAATTTACCCGATACTATGATAATGTGGAAAGAGTTTGAGCAAAGTATTACATTAATAGTTATTGCAAGTGGAACTACTAAATCTGTATTGGAAAAATTTCTTAATGCTGTTTTCGGTGCAATGATTTTATTTGTTGGTATTGAAGAATTAAAAAGTACAAAAAATATTGAAAAATTAAAGAAAGATATCCGTTTATGTAATCCAATTGTTGATAGTTTATTGGAATGTCTTGATGTTGGTGATGGAATTTGTTCAAAAACTGATATTATCAATATGACAGAATGTATAATGTGTCAAGAAAATAATTTATTTCAGGTAATTAAAATTTTTAAATTAAAAAGTTTTCTGTATGTTAAGTAATAATCTATTTAAGACATGCTTAGAGGGTTATATGGAATGTCTGGATTCTATATATGGATGCATTTTAATACATGGATGTTTAGCAGTAGCTACAGAAGGATGGTGGAATTTAAATCCCATTGAAAGGAAATTATTAATAACAGCTGTAAATACAGAAGATACTTATACCACAAGAGACATTCCAGTATTTTTACCTTATAAAAGTCCAAATGTGAGTATATTTGTTATTTTTAAAACAATTTTAATATAATATTTTTATTTTTTTAATTTAATTTTTTATTTTAAAAAATTACATCACATGATTTATCATAAGAGACCATATATATAGGTAGCTTTTAGATTAGTATCTATTACATTAGTCAATCAAGTTGAAGTATTAGCTTTATGTGGACCAAATCCAGATTTATCAGAGATTGAAAAACTTGCTGTACAATGTTGGAAGAATAGTATTGATGCTTTACGCAATGCAGAACAATGCTACCCACGAAATTTACCTTTATCTATAAATCTAGATACAGAAACGCTTGGGTAATAGAAATATTAATATCTAATATAAATAATTTCATTTAAAAAAATATATTATTAAAAATATTATAATATTCTTATTTTTTTTTTATGAATTTAGATTTCTTTTAACAAATTATAAAGCACAAAAATTTATTCTTGGTAAAAATATGCAATATGCAAAAAACAGAGTCAGTGGTTCTCACAGATTGGATATATTAAGAACATTTTATCATCAAGCTGTTGAAACTTATATATTATCTTCAGAATCTGAATATAATTCATCAGGTGATAATTGGAAATTTATGGGTGCAAAAGAAACTTATTTATGTTCAGAATATCATAAATGCTATGCAGTTAAAGATGGTGATCATATACTTTGTATTTTATGTACCTCCACAGTTCCTACTCATACAGTGAGAATGATTTGTCAAAAAATGTTAAAAGCATTACTTATTGATAAACAAGGATGTTGGTAAAAATTTAATGTCAATTTCTTTTTATAATACTCACTTTGTTATAATACACTTTTATTATTGTCATATTAACTGACTTTTATATTCTAATACTATTTTTATTATAAACAAATATTATAATAATAAATATTAAAATAGTAATAAATATTAAAAAAAATTAATAGAAATAAAGATATAATATGACAATTATTTGTAAAATAAATGAAATTAAATGTACTATATTAAGTATAAGATCATTTCTTGTTTAGTAATTTCAACTTTTCAATTTAATTATTCATTGCAATATATTTAGTATTCGATCATATTTGATGAATGCGCACGCGCTATTGATTTACTTGTACAATATGTGATCTTAAATGATATATAATATAGAGAACCTAACTATAACAATATTTGACGAAAAGTTTCGATAAAATATTACTTAAGTAATCGGTTGATACAGTAATTTTTACACAATTAGGATAAATTTAAAAATATTATGAAATATATATATTTTTTTATATTTTAATGAACAACTCATAAATTGACATTTTTAAACAATTAATATTAATAAAATTGATATTTAACGATGAGTAGTATAACAAAAATTGCATTTGAAGTACAATTGTATAATACAACAAATTTTTATATAGGGTTAGGCTTAGCAATTAGTTCTAGTATTTTTATAGGTTAGTTAATGTTACAATTTTAATTATATATTTATTTAAAATAAATATTATGTAGTATTATAATTATTTAGGAGCTAGTTTTATTATCAAAAAAAAAGCATTGATTCGACTTCAAAGACGCGGAGCACTACGAGCTTCATCTGGAGGATTTGGATATTTAAAAGAATGGATGTGGTGGACTGGTTTTTTATCAAGTATATAAAACAAAAAGTAATTATTTAATACTTCTATTTAAATATCTTTATTAAAAAAAGTATTATTTTTTTTAAAGTGGGAATAGGAGAAACAGCAAATTTTGCTGCTTATGCATTTGCACCAGCATCATTAGTAACCCCGTTAGGAGCCCTTAGTGTTTTAATATCTGCAATATTAGCATCAAAATATCTACATGAAAAACTTAATTTGCTAGGAAAGGTAACAATATAATATTATATGAGATATTATTATTTATAATTTTCATATATGAAAATTATAAATTATATATGATATGATTTTATTTTTATTTTTATGAATATATATATGATTTTTTTTTTATTTGAATAATTGATATATTTATATTTATTATTATTGCAGATTGGTTGCCTTTTATGTATCTTGGGTTCTACAGTTCTTATAATTCATTCTCCAAAGGAAGAAGAAATCAGTACATTAAATGAACTTTTAGATAAAGTTAAGGATCCAGGATACATTGTTTATATATTGACTGTGATAATATGTAGTATTTTAATTATTTTTTATTTTGGTCCTATATATGGAAAACAAAATATCATAGTATATATTTGTTTATGTTCATCTATTGGTTCATTGACTGTTACAAGTTGTAAAGGATTAGGATTAGCTTTGAAAGAAACTATTTTTGGATTTAGTAATGGATTTTCAAATTGGTTAACATGGGCTTTTTTATTTAGTGTTATACTTTGTGTTAGCATACAAATGAATTATTTAAATAGATCACTTGATTTATTTGAAACTACAATTGTTACACCTATTTATTATGTATTTTTCACAACATTAGTAATAATTGCATCTGCTATATTATTTAAGGAATGGGAAAATATGAGTGCTGAAGATATTTTAGGATCATCTTGTGGTTTCTTAACTATAATAATTGCAATATTTCTGTTAAATGCATTTAAAGAAATGGATATATCTTATGAAAATATTAGACGTATGTTACAGCCTAAACGAAAATTGTTCATAAATAGTAACAATCAATGGAATAACAGAGATGAGGAAAGATTAATAACTAGACTGGAAACAGAATTAAATCATACATATGGAGCTCAAGCTTTAACAAGAACTATATAATTCTATAAATATATAAAATATAAAAATATGAATAATTTTTGTATCAAATTCAATTTATGACTGTATAAATAACATAAATAACTGTGTAAATATATTTATTAGATAATGCATGCAAATATATTTATTAGATATTAAAATAAATCTAATTAATATTCATAATTCTAAATATCGAGTCTGTATAGCTCGAAAATCTTCATTGTGAAATCTAGAAATCTATATAATATATATAAATTTTTTTTCGAATTATTTTATTTTTATAATTTAAATTCAGAATATCTTGTTATCTACTATCTAAATTGAAGTTTCTATTTGTATATATAATATATAAATAAAATTTTCACTTTATATCTTTTTGTAATTCGAAATAATAACACAATCATAAATATAAAATACATAATCAAAATATATGATATATATATATCATAACCTATCAATAACCATTCGGTATTGTTTTTTTTTTTTTTTTTCAAATGTAAAAATATTGCTTAGATACTTTAAAATAAGAAAATTTTTGATTTTTCCTTTTCTTCCAATTCTTTTAATTGAAAAAAATATATTATATTATATTATATATAAAAATATTAAATTTTTATATATAAAATATAACCTTTCTTTTCTAAAATTCATAATTCGAGCATTTTTGTTTTATCCTTAAAATTCAAATTATTAATTCAATTATATTATTCTATAAATTTTAAATTATTTCATTATATAAATTTAATATTATTCGTAAATTTATTTTTCTTCATTTTATATTTATATATTTTTGATATAGTTTTGTCACTTATGGGTGAACAAGATAATAATATAATTAAAAACAAAAATATATTTTCTAATAATGTAAATCTTATAAATATAATATACGAAATATTTTGAAAAATTTTAAAATATTTTTTATCATAATAAAAGATTATATTATTATAAATAATAATATTTATTAAAATTTGTTTAATAATCTTAATTGATAATTCTGATCATAAAATTGCATTCTGTATTAATGAAATTGCATTAATTCAATTTATGAACAAAAATATATAAAAAAATATTCTACGATAATAACAAACCGATAACATTTTATCAAGAAATATTAACATTTTATTAAGAAAATAAGTTAGTATAATATAATAAATATTATAATATTACAAATAACTACATCATGTTTGTTTATTTATAATTCCATTCTTTGTTCATAAATCAATTTATGTATATTTATTAAATTAAATTAAATACTATCATATATATTTATTATAATGGCGTTCACTTTGATTGCTTTTTCATATATCGTAGCTTTAATTGTTGATGCATTTTTAATAATTTTTACAATATTTCACGTACGTGCCAAGCCAAGCCATAATGATTACTTTTAAAATAAAATAATAAATAAAAATATGTATATAATTGTTTTATATGAATTATTGTTAACCTTAGCATTATAGATATAAGGAATGAAAATGATTTTTGTTAAAAATATTATATTTTTCAGGTTGCTGCATTTGATGAATTAAAAACTGGCTATAAAAATTCCATTGAACAATGTAATAATTTAAATTCGGTAAGATTCTGAAATTAGTATTTTTATATAAATACTATTTATATGAAAATAATAATGATAAATTATAATTATAGTTAAATCATATATGTGTATTTTAGCTAATTATTCCAGAATATGGATTACATATTTTAATCAACATTTTATTTTTAAGTAGTGGACAGTGGCTTTCATTATTTCTAAATATTCCATTAATAATATATCACTTATGGCAATATTATCATAGACCTATTATGTCTAAACCAGGAATTTATGATCCAACTAATATAATGAATGTTCAAACTCTTAAAGTTCATCAAAGGGAAGGATGGAGTAAACTTACATTTTATCTTTTATTGTTTTTTTATTATTTATATGGGTAAGCTTTTGAAAATTTAAAAACATTTGTATAAAATTTTTATTAAAAAAAAAAATATCTGTTTCTTTTTTTCAGTATGATTATTTCATTAAGGAATTGATTGATTCATTATGAAAATTATCTTTTATTATGTTCTAAAAAATATTTATTTATAATATATTTTCAATATAATGTTTTGCTAATTAGTTTTTTTATTGTAAATATAAAAAATAATGTATAATTTATTAAAACAAATTATAACTTTTTGCAACTTTTTACAATTATTTTTTAAAAAATAAAATTTCATACTCAAATAATAAAAAAATTTTTTCTTGTCTTAATAATATAATTGGACCACTTCAATATATATTATATATACATTATATACATTACTATAATTTTTATTTGTTTATATATTAATGTAAAATATATAATTATATTTGAATAAATATATAATAATATATAATTAAAATTAATAATATATTAATATATAATATATAATAATATATTAAAAATAATATATAATATATAAAAATTCATATAAAAAATAATGTTTTTCTATATAAACATTAACGAATAATTATTACATTAACAAAATTATAAAATTAATTTAAATCTATAAATATGAATGTAAAATTAAATCATTAGAAAAGAAATACCTAACCTTAACTTATGATACATCTACAATGCTGCTCTCTATGTACAATAATGTTATACATTCATTCTAACCTTTAATTCTTTTTCTAAACATCAATCTCAATTACTTAATAGTGATTATTGTAATATTTCTTAATATTTAAAACTTGTAAAAAGTTTTTATTAAAATAAAATAATTTAAATAAATTCATTTCATTTTATTACATTATTCATTTTATTACAGTATCAGATTATTATCAGAAGTGTATATATAAAAATGCCTACTATTAACATCAAACGTGACTTATTATTTAAAATCCTTGGTAAAACATATTGTAAGTTGAAAATATTAAAATGTTATATTGTTTTTCCATATTTAAAATTATTTTGAATAAATATTTATTAGTATAATCTTTTTTATATAAAATAATATATCTAATACAATTTTAGCGGATATCGACTTTCAGGATTTATGTTTCAAGTTTGGTTTAGAATTAGATGAAGTGGTATGTATACATACAACATATATTATTAAATTGTATTAAATATATTGATATTTTTGAAAATTGTGTTATTATAATATATTTTATTATATTAATATATGAAAGAATTTTAATTAAACTTTTTAGGTAACAGAAAAACAAATTATATCAAAAGAACATTTAAATCATAACAGACAAGAATTAGAGGAAGTTATATATAAAATTGATATACCAGCAAACAGATACGATTTATTATGCTTAGAGGGTTTAACTCTTGGACTTCTTATATTTTTAAATCAGTATATATATTTAATATGTAATTTGTTCATTATCTTTAACAAACTATGTTATTCTTTCTATATTACATATCATATTACATAAGATATAAATTCATTATTATTTTAATTATTTCAATTATTAGAGATAGATTGCAATAGATTATATTAAAAACATAAATTTTTTTGAGATTTGTAAACTTGTATTTATATTTATTATATTTATAAATAAGATTTATATATTCAGAAAATTTTTTTGTATAGAGTTGATATACCACAATATATGGCAATACTTCCTAATACAAATACAGAAAAAATTATAATGACAAAGCAGGTATATATAATAATTATGTTATTAATTTTTGTTATTGAAAAATTAAATTTTTATTAATCAATAAAAAATTAAATTATATTTTAGTGCTTAGAAGTTAGAGGACACATTGTTGCAGCTATATTACGTGATGTTACATTTACAGAGGATTCTTATAATAGCTTCATTGATCTTCAAGAAAAATTACATCAAAATATAGGCAGAAAAAGAACTTTAGTATCAATTGGAACTCATGATTTAGATACTATTAAAGGTCCATTTTTATATGATGCAAGATTACCAACTAATATTTGTTTTAAGCCACTTAATCAAGATAAAGAATATACAGCAGAAGAAATTATGAATTTATATAGTGTAAGTATTTTTAAATCTTAATGATTTTGATAAACAATTTAGATTTTATTTTTCTTTCAGAATCATGCACAATTAAAACAATATTTACACATTATAAAAGATAGTCCATTTTATCCTGTGATAGAAGACAGTAATGGAATCATTTTATCCTTTCCACCTATTATCAATGGAGATCATTCAAAGATTACACTTGATACTAAAAATATATTAATAGAATGTACTGCAATAGATTTAACAAAGGTATATGAAAAATTAATATTGAAATAATAATTAAAAATTAATAAATTAATATTATATATATATAATAAAAAATGAACTGATATACTAAAATTTTGAATATCTTTAGGCAAAAGTAGCACTAAATACCATAGTTTGTGCTTTTAGTCAATACTGTAAAACAAAATATACAATAGAAATGGTGGAAGTCTTGTATCCTAATGGAGAAGTTTTTTATTATCCTGATTTAAAATATCGAACTATAGAAATTGATTGTGAGAAAGCAATGAAATATATTGGTATAAAACAAACTGCAGAAGAATTAGTTAACCTGCTTTCTAGAATGTCTTTAAAAACATCTATCAAAAATAATAATAAATTAATCATTGAAGTGCCACCTACAAGACATGATGTATTGCATGCATGTGATATTTACGAAGATATTGCTATAGCATATGGATATAACAAAATTCAGAAAACTATACCATATTTATTTACTATAGCGGAAGAGGTAATAATAAAAAATTCATAGATTTTCAAATTTATAAAATTTTAATATAAAACATTTTCTAAATATTATGTTTATATTTTAAATATAGTGTCCACTTAATAAACTATCTGATCAACTTCGTACAGAATTGGCTTATGCTGGATTCACAGAAGCATTGACTTTCTCATTAGTATAAATTTCTTCATTAGTATAAATTTTTTTTTAATAACTATATAAGTTATATGAACCATTATAATTAATTAAATAATTTTTTCTTAGTGTTCACGTGAAGATATATCAAATAAATTAGGTCATAATTTGATAAATGTACCAGCTGTTCATATATTGAATCCTAAAACATTAGAATTTCAGGTATATACATGAATTTTATTAAAAATAAAAATTTCATTCTAGATATAAAATCAATATAATAATATTGGTATATTATTATATTGTAATAGGTTGCACGTACCACTTTGATACCAGGAT